GACCTTCTCTGTTTGATGAACTCCACTAGGATGAATAGAAGCTACGTATGGAAATATTTTTTTATGCTACTGACTTTGGTCTATGGGTAATCGTCAGTCATGGACCAATTTTCTCAACCAAATTGGATGATGAAGGTAACAAGTGCAACAAAAGAGAAGAAAAATACGATGAGGAAGATCGTTAGTTAGTTCAAAAAAATGCCAAAGCAAAGGACTTGCTCTACAGAAGTCTGTCTAGAAACACCCTCTTCAGAGTGTCCTCTTGTATCTCTACTCATGATATATGGAGGACATTGGAAACTGACTTTGGAAATGAAGACATCGAAGTGGCTCTGGTGGTGATTGAAGAATAAAAAATAGAGGAAGAAGTGATAGGAATGATGGCCATAAGTGATTCAGAAACTGAAGATGAAACAAACCAGGTAAGTATATCAGACTTGAAAGAAAATATTCATGCTATGTCCAAAAAGCAACTGATGGCCATAATTATGACTTTAATGAATGAAATGGATAAAATGAGTAATGGAAATGATGAGCTAATCAGTAATCTTTCTTGTGTCAAATGTGACATCAAAGAGCTTGAATCTGACAAAACTAGTTTAGAGAAACAGGTCAAAGACCTTAAGAACTAGGTTCTTGAATTAGCTTCTGAGAATGAGAAGTCTCCGGATACATATGGCAAAGGCAAAATGAGTAATATGCAGGATAAGCTTGAAAAGGAATTAAAAATTGCTAATGATAATTTTTATAAAGCTGAATGTAGAAATAAAGTCCTGCATGAGAACCTAGAAAAGGCTAATTATGAACTCTCTAGACTAAGCAAATGACATAGATCTTCTGATGCCTTGAATTGGCTGAATGAAAACTGTAGCACTAACAAATCTGGAATTTGCTACAGAAAACCTGTCCCTAAGTTTGACCCAAAGTATGTAGAAATTTCTGATAATAAATTGTGCACTCATTGTGGAAGAGTAGGACATTTTAGAGACACATGTCCTGCCTTAATTCATGCTCAGTTTAGAAACACCTGTCCTACCTTAATTCATGCTCAGTTTAGAAACACCTTTGGTATTGCTAAAAATGTGAAGAAGGAAGAGGAGCCAAAGGTTTATCCTCTTATCCATACTAATTGGATTAAGGTTAACACGAAAGTAGCTTCTAATCCTCTTCCCTTCTGGGCAAGAAGGGATCTGATTCATGCTTTTTCAAACAAAAAGGGACCCAAGCTAGTCTGGGTTCCCAAAACTAACTTGTGAATTTTGGTGCAGGCTAAGATGAGAGGAAATAATCAGGACTGGTATCTAGACAGTGGATGCTCAAGACATATGACTGGAGAAAAGAAAAAATTTCTCTCACTGACAACCTTCCAAGGAGGGAGTGTGTCATTTGGTAATGAAAAAAAGGCCAGATAACATGTATTGTTAAGATTGGCGAGTCACTCTCTCATGCTATAGAAGATGTGTATTATTTGGTAGGTCTTAAACACAATCTTCTTAGCATCTCTCAAATGTGCGACAAAGGAAATGAGGTAAAATTCAATTCCAAAATCTGCACTATCACTAAGCTTGATACTGATGAAATTGTGCTAAAGGGAAAGAGACATAACAATGTCTACAAGATATCAATTATGTCACTTCCCTACAGTGAGCACACATGCTTGAGTGTAGTGGAAGATGATCCACTACTATGGCATAGAAGATTGGGACATGCCAGACACTCTCAACTCAATAAGTTGGCAGCTAAGGACTTAGTCCTTGGGGTACCTAAAGTTGAATTCACCTATGACAAAGTATGTGATGCCTGTATTAGAAGTAAACATGTTAGGTCATCCTTTAAATCTAAGAAGTTTGTAAGCACTTCTAAATCTCTGGAACTCATTCACATGGATCTATGTGGACCAATGAGAATAAGGAGCAGATGAGGTAAGATGTATATGTTTGTGATTGTTGATGACTTTTCCAGGTATACCTGGACTTTATTTTGGGATCCAAAGTTGAAACCTTTGATGTTTTCTCTGTATTTGTCAGAATGATTCAACTAAAGATAGGATGTAATGTTTTAAGTATAAGGACTGACCATGGAACTGAATTTGAAAATTCAAAATTCCTTGAGTTCTGTGGCTCACATGGGATTGACCATAATTTCTCTGAACCAAAAGCTCCACAACAAAATGGAGGTGCAGAAAGAAAGAATAGATCCTTAGAAGACATGGGGATGACCATGTTGATTGCCAGTGGACTGCCTAAGAACTTCAGGGCTGAGGCAATAAATACTGCTTGCTATCTGCTAAATAGATGCATGGTCAGACCCATTCTTGAGAAAAATCCCTATGAGTTACTTTGAGGAAGAAAACCCAACATCACTCATCTGAGAGCCTTTGGGTGCAAATGTTTTGTGCATAATAATGGGAAAGAAGCTCTAGGTAAGTTTGATGACAAAAGTGATGAGGGAATTTTCTTGGGTTACTCTCCACATAGTAAGGCATATAAGGTTTTAAATAAAAGAACTATGTGTGTGGAAGAAAATATTCATGTTATTTTTGATGAATCTAACAATTTGACTGAAAAAGGTTTGCAGGATGAAGATTATGACATAGGATTCACTAGTGACAGAGATACAAAGGAATCTGATGAAGATGGATCTGAAAACCATAAGGAAATTGACAGTGATAATGAGGAACCAGAAGAAGACCGAGCTACTCTAACTGCTGATCAGATTAATGAATTCACACCCACTAAACCTGTTCCCTTGGGTCACTCCTCAGGTGAATCTTCTCTGGGTATGCAGACCAGACCATGAAAGCATCAAAGTTCACCCCCTCTTGAAAATATCATCTCCGATCCAAAAGCAAGAGTGCAAACCAGGTCTTCTCTAAGAAATCTATGTGCACTCACAACATTTCTTTTACTAGTTGAACCTAAGACCATCAAAGAAGCTCTAAAGGATCCAGATTAGATCATAGCCATGCAAGAGGAGTTAAATCAGTTTGAGAGATGCAAGGTCTGGCACCTGGTACAAAAACCCAAGAATAGAATAGTCATATGTATCATATGGGTGTTCAGAAACAAGTTGGATGAACAAAGAAATATCACAAGGAACAAGGCCAGACTGGTGGTTTAGGGATATAATAAAGAGGAGGGCATTGACTATGATGAGACATTTGCACCTGTAGCTAGAATGTAGGCTATAAGAATGCTGATAGCCTTTGCCTCCCACATGAAATTCACTTTATACTAAATGGATATAAAGAGTGCCTTTTTGAATGGGTGCCTAAAGGAGGAGATGTTTGTCAAACAACCTCCTAGATTTGAAAAGGAAGAATTTCCCGACAATGTGTTCAAAATGGATAAAGTTCTTTATGGTCTAAAAGAGGCTCCTAGAGCTTGGTATGAAAGGCTCTCAAAATTCCTCTTAGCTAACAACTTTGTAAGAGGAAAGGTGGACAACACTCTATTTTTGAGGAGTAAAGGAAGGAATATCTTGATTGTGCAAGTGTATGTGGATGATATTATCTTTGGGGCTACCAATGACGCAATGTGCGAGGAATTTGCTAAGATGATGGGAAATGAGTTCGAAATGAGCATGTTGGGTGAACTGAACTTCTTTCTGGGGCTACAAATTAAGCAAACATCTACTGGAACCATGATACATCAGCAGAAATATCTCAAAGAGTTACTGCAAAAATTCAACATAGACTCCTCCAAGTCTATTGATACCCCAATTGCCATTGCAACAAAGCTGGACCTTGATGAAGAAGGGAAAAGTGTGGAACAGAAGCTATATAGAGGAATGATTGGGTCAGTATTGTACCTCACAACAAGCAGGCCTGATATAGTATTTAATGTGGGATTATGTGTAGGATTTCGGGCAAATCCCAAGGAATCCCACCTGAAGGCTGTCAAAAGAATACTAAGATATCTCAAGGGGACCCATGACCTCTGTCTATGGTATCCCAGAGGATACAAGTTTGATATAGTTGGTTATGTTGATGCTGACTATGCAGATTTTCATGTTGACATGAAAAGCACTTCAGGAACAACACATTTTCTAGGTTCTTGTTTGGTGTCTTGGGGAACCAAGAAGCAAAACTCAGTAGCATTATCTATGGTATATTTATTGATTGTGTTTCCATTTTTTGTGATAACACCAGTGCCATAAACATTGCAAAAACTCTATGTCAGCATAAAAGAACCAGACACATTGACATTAGACATCACTCTCAGAGATAATATTGAAAAGGGGAATATATCAATTAACTTCTGTAAAACTGAAGATCAAATTGATGATATTTTTACTAAAGCTCTGAGTAGGGATCACTTTGGAAGGAATAGACTAGAACTAGGTCTAATCAACTCCTCCCACTAAGTTGACTCCCAGTGATTGGTTAGAAAAACCATAATAAGACATAGATATTTAAGTACAATATGTTTAATTCAGCTTTGTGCTTGTATTAAGCTCACACACTCGCATAAAAATGTGGCTGATAACTATGTTGCATGATACTAATATGAAGTGCTGAAGCTTTATTGCAGAAACGAATAAGGAGTTGCTAAGGAGTTGGTTCTTTGACTCAGGTATGTGCCAGACTGTCTTAAGTCACTAGAACTTATATTCTAAAATTGCTACTTTACTCAGACTTTTATTTCAATTGGAATCACTTCTAGTCGTCTTCTAGTCAAAGAGTAAGAGGGAATCCTTGTGTAATTAGAGATCAATTACTCCTGAAAACTTTACAGTCAAAGTAACCGTTATAAGAGTCCCGTTAGAACTCAAATTCGGTCACCTTCTCTCTTCTAGTCAAATCAGGAGTAATGCCTTTAAAAGGCCCTTATGATTGGCTTCTCTGACCGGCTTATCTGACCTTACTATTCCTTTCAAACCCTAAGCAAGAATTGAAAGCAAGTATCAAGAACTAACCCTTCCATTATCTTCTTCGAGGTTCTCATCTGATCACTATGCCTAATGCCAGTCAAACACCCTCTAAAGCTAAATCATCAACCATGGCTGAAGCAAAACCCAAAATCTTGAAGCCCAAGTCAAAGAAAAATGTCAAGTCTTCAAGAGAACCCATACCCACACCTGTTCCTTCTCTATCAATATCCCCTACCATACCTACCTTATCCTCCCCTGCTCATACTGCTCCTATTCTTGTTATTCCCATATCCACAACACCTCCTCCTTCAAAATCCATTACCCATACACCTGAGTTTCCTACAAAAAATATCTCTAAGAGGGCAAAGGTCAAAGCAACTTCAAGAAAACCTGTCAAGAAAATGCATGAGGCTAATACGTAGAGTGACTTTGGAGTCAAGGAATCTATGATTTAGGGGGAATCAGGTATAAGCACTACTGATTAGGTACCACATCCTGCTTCCAGGTTAGTTGTTTTGGCTTCTGCTATTGCTGTTGCACCCCTAGATACTACCAGTAGAGAAATTCATGGTAGAAGAACATACATGGGATTTGGGAAATGAGGTAGATACAAGGGATGTGGAGCCTGTGGTTGAGGGGGAAGGATGTAAAGTACCAGTACAAAAGGATGCTTCTGATGGCCTTAATTTTAGCTAGACTGAGGATGAGGAAGATGATGAAGGTGAGAAGGAAGAAGAAGCTGTGACAAGTCATGAGGAACATGAAGCTTAAAACATAGCCAATAAAGAAGGAAAGAGTGAGAATGAGGTAGTAACTATAGATGATAAGGAGAGTGATACAGAGGATAAGATAAGTGAAGAGGCTAATAATTCTGCAGAAGAAAAAAATATGAGTGAAGAAGAGGAGGTTTCTGAAAGTGAGGGAGATGATCAAGAAAATATGGGTGAGAGTGAAGAAGTTAATGACGAGAGTGAGGAAGATAAGGGAATGAGAGTGAGGAATCTAAAGGCTCTATGACAATTGAAAACACTGTCATAGCCCCTTCAGAAGAAATTGGTGAAGAGACGAGGGCTCAAGAACCCGGGTCTTTGTTGTCTCCTTTCACTAGAGATGAAAAAGTTAGCAGTGATGAAGATGATATGCCACTATCTGAGGTAGGGAAGAAGATCAGAAAGACCTATGAGAAAGCTACAAAGGCAACAGTTTCAACAAGAAAAGAAGTGGTTCCTCCTGCTAGAACTCCTCTCACAAGGAGTAAAATAAAGGCTGTTGATACACAAATCATGAATGAGTCCAGAAGTGCAAAGAAGCCAAAGAAAAAGGTTTCAATTGTGGAACCTGTTGTTGAGGTGGATGGAGAAGATGAATCTGATTCAGCCTTGCCAGCAAAGTCTGCAACACCAAAGAAAAGGGGAGCCAAAGTCACCAAACCTGCTACCTCTTCTGCAAGGGCCAGTAAGGGTAAGATAAAAAAGAATATTTCAGCTGCAGTTGATCGACTCACAGAGTTTAGGAATAGAAAAGTACTAAATTAGAAGATTCTTGCTAACACTGATGAGAAAGGAATGACTCAACTAGTTGAGAAACTTGAGATACAGGGGTGGAAGCACATATTTATCAAAGCTTTTTCCCAGTATGTGTTCCTGTTGTGGTGGAGTTCTACACAAATTTCACTTTTGATGGGAAGGTAGTCAAGAGTAAAGTAGGGGGCTTCAACATAGAGTTTGATGCTGAGGAACTGGGACTACTTCTAAATATCCCTTCTTTGGGATTTGACAATTATTTGAAGAAGAAGTGGACAACCATAGACAATGATGTTGACACTAGCATTGTGGTCACTAGGAAGTTCTCCCAAAAGTTTGAACTAGATGCTACCCAGAAAGTGTACAAGACTGATATGGCCTCCTTTCACAAGCTATTGTTTCAGTTTTTAACTCCTACATTCTTCCGAGATCTAAGAGAAGTCATGAGGCTACTCTATTAGACATGGTTGTGATGGAATTTCTTGACACTGATCGACCTATCAATCTTCCTAGCCTGATAATTCAGCACATGAAAAGTGCTGTAGATACCAAAGCGTTCTATGACATATGGTTTCATGTTAACCGAGTTATTTGACAAGCTCAACATTGCCATACCTGAGCTTAAGTTTGGAAACCACAATGATGTTTTAGATATTGTTACCCTCAAGCAGTGTGGTTTTGAGGAGATCAAGGCTAGAGGACCCACATGATCTGCCATTTTTCGTGGGAGTAGTAGGGTTGTAGAACTCAGCAAGAGGTTGGAGTTAGCTGTTGAAGAGAACGACAAGCTTTGTGAAGACAATAATGAACTGAGTCAGGAAACTAAGCAACTCATAGAAGAGCTCCGAAGAGACAGGGAGGCCCATGCTCAACAGATTTCTACCCTTGTGAAAGCCTTGACCCCCTCTACCTCTCACCCTTGAACCTGTTCCTTCACAGTGTCCTTAGTTTGTTTGCCTTTCTAGTGATGTCTTATCATTTTTTTTCTCTTTCTTAGTATGAGTTGTCTACAGTATGCTTAGTTTATTATGTTCTAATTATGAAGACAAGGTCATGGGCTTCTTTTTGCACTACTTAATATCTCCCATTCCTCTGCTTTATTGAGTTGCACTTTTTTGGATCATCAGCTTAGTATATTTTCCTTTTCTTGTGCTTGTGTTGTCTCCTGATAGGATTTGAATCTTACACTCTATGTGCTTACTATCTAACATTTGTTTGTATTTTTTTCGATGATGCCAAAAGGGGGAAGATAAGGTGGTTACATTCGTGTACTTAATGTGATCATATGGTTCTTTGATGTGATTGCTAGTTCTGGGTACAGAGTTTGTCATCGTCAAAAAGGGGGAATTTGTTGAGTATTGAAGTTTTAATGATTAACAAACTATGACTAATTAATCAAAGAACCAGGTCCTCAATGTAGCTGTTTAACTGTTGTGAAGAACCAACTTCTCAGGTTAAAGGATCAACTCCTTATGATTGATACTTGTATGTTTGTACAAGATAATGTAACTTTATCTCAAAGTTACCAGGTCCGAGTTTGGTGGAAGATGGCTTATGTTAGTGATAAAAATCGTAGCTCAAGAAGATATGGATAAGTCCGTCAGAGACAAAAGTCCCAAAGCTTGTGGAATCCTTGAAATAGTAGGAGTCCTATCAAAGAAGAAGCTAACTATGAATAAGACTCCTAGAAGATATCAAGTCGTGTTTTAATAGGATTGAGTTTGGACTTCTGAATGATCCTTTTACTCATCAACAATAGAGTCATAAAGTTGTTCACTTGTGTTGAGTACTTGTCTTGTACTCTTCTAGAGTTAGCCTAGTAAATGTGTTTTAGGAAATTGAGTTGTAATCAAGTGTTATAACAATTAGTGAGTTGGAGTGAGTGTTTGGTTTTACAAGTTAGAGTTACTTGTGAGTCAAATAGGAGTAGTAGGATTACTGGAGAGTATTTAATTATATCATTGTAATTGATATATTTTGGCTCTTTGTTCTAGTGGAGTTGAAGCTGAAAATCCTACTTGGTAGGTCAGGGTTTTTGCACCTTTTGAGTCGGGTAATTTTTCACGTAAAAATTAATGTGTTCGTTTTATTGCTTGTTTACTTTTCACTTAAGGAACACGGTAAAGAACAAATTTATTAGTAATTCATACGGGCACTCAAACTAACAATGAGTACATGAGGTTTTCATCGTGATGCATCACATATGATATGCACATTTGCATGTAGATATAGAGATTTAATATTCCTCATATCAGTCATACATGACATATTTGATTAGTATTAAGCTTAACTATTAAACCTGGAAGCATGACATTATTCTAGTACTGTGTATCAACAGATTATGAGTTTCTCTGAGATATTATTATCATATTTCCTATCATTTATGTACTGTTAAACTTTGTATTTGGACTATATTGTGCGAGCTCATCATTTCTTTCAACCCAAAGATTAGTTTTGTTATTTTTTAAGTGCATTGGAAGATTGTACTCATACTATACGGGCACGGAGGTTGCTAGTGTTGAAGCTTATTCAGTTCGGAGACTATCGAGGTAGCTACCTTGGCGTCCACATACCTTGACTCTCCTCCTTTATCTTTTAGTTTTATTTATACTGTTCTACCTTCCTAGATCGTGTTTCAACAGTCAGACCATGTTATTGTATAGATGCTCATGTACTCAGTGACACCTGAATTTTGGGGAGTATTGTATTGAGTCGCGATATTTTCTTATTAGTATTTATGAGATTTTACTCTTGAACTTATATTACTATGTTTCCAAATTTAAAGTTGCGTAGTTTATTGTTATTGTCGGCTTGCCTAGTATTGTGATAGACGCCATCACGATATGTGAGATTTGGGTTATGACAACTTGGTATCAGAGCCTAGGTTACATAGGTCTCACGAGTTATGAGCAGGTTTAGTAGAGTCTTGCGGATCGGAACAGAGACGTCTGTACTTATCTTCGAGAGGCTACCGAACCCTTAAGAAAACATACATTTTCTTGTATTCTTGTCTTGTGAAATTTTTGATTCCGGGAACTAAACTTCTATTATTATACTCTCTGACATATGGTGAGGACATGTGCTAACGGATCGGGCAGACGGCCACCAGTACAACCAGCTAGGGCCACGAGTGGCCGAGGCCGAGGTAGAGGCTGAGGTGCACAACAGCTAGAGCAGCACCTGTAGACCCACCAATTGTTCCAGCTCAGGAGCAGATTCCAGATGTGGTTGAGCCGGTGGGACCAGCTCATCAGAGGAGTCATGCGGCGACTTTCACACTAGTTACTTTACTACCCGCTCAGCCAACTCGGGGTGGGGCTCAGGCAGCTAGAGGTCTCCCTAGAGGGGGAGGCCGATCAAGTGGCGGTCAGGCTCGATTCTATGCTATTTCTGCTAGGTCAAAGGCCATTGCTTCAGACACATTGATCACAAGTATTGTCTCAATATGCCACAGGGATGCTTCTATATTATTTGACCCTGGTTCCACTATTTCGTATGTATCATCATATTTTGCTCGTTATTTGGATATATCCCATGAGTCCTTAGTTTTACATGTTCATGTATCTACGCTGGTGGGCAATACTATTGTTGTGGACCGTGTGTATCGGTCGTGTGTGGTGACTATTGGGGGATTAAAGACTAGAGTTGATCTCTTATTACTTAGTATAGTTGATTTCAACATGATTTTGGGTATGGATTGGTTGTCTCCATATCATGCCATTCTAGACTGTCACGCTAAGACCATGACGTTGGCAATGCCGGGTTTGCCGAGGATTGAGTGGAGAGGTTCTCTAGATTATGTTCCCAGCAGGGTGATTTCTTATCTAAAGGTCCAACAAATGGTTTTCGCACCTTTGTGAGGGACGTTGGTGCTGATACTCCTACTATTGATTATGTACCTGTAGTGCGAGACTTTCCGGATGTGTTTCCTATAGACCTGCTAGGCATGCCACCCGATAAGGATATTGATTTTGGTATTGCCTTGGTGCCAAGCACTCAGTCCATTTCTATTCCTCCGTATCATATGGCACCAGCAGAGTTGAAGGAATTGAAAGAGCAACTTCAGGAGCTTCTTGCTAAGGGGTTTATTAGGCCTAGTGTGTCATCTTGGGGTGCACTAGTTATGTTTTTAAAGAAGAACGATAGTACTATGCGGATGTGCATCGACTATAGGCAGTTGATCAAAGTTATAATGAAGAAAACGTATCATTTGCCACGCATTGATGATCTATTTGACCAGCTTTAGGGAGCGAGGGTGTTCTTTAAGATTGATTTGAGGTTTGGGTATCACCAGTTGAAGATTCGAGACTCGAATATTCTGAAGACGACATTCAGAACCCGCTACGGTCACTATGAGTTCTTTGTGATGTTATTTGGGCTGACAAACACCCCAACAACATACATCCATCTGATGAATAGTGTATTTCAGCCATATCTTGATTCGTTTGTCATAGTATTCATTGACGATATCCTGGTGTACTCACGTATCCAGGA